CTTTTTAAAAATGAGGATCAGCATGAGGTGAGGGATTGAGTTGAGCAACATATTCAAGTAGTTGGATAGTCATGGGAAAGTAGGAAAACAGCCTTTTTTTCTATATCCAGCCTGAATCTCCTATGTTATTACTAATGCCCATTGTCTCTCCCTCTCCCACTGTGTACTGCTGTGAAGAGACTGGCCCCCTCATTCCCTCCTCATAGGCTTTTTGCCAGAATGGAGCATTCCTATCCCTCAGCCTCTGTTCACAGGGCAGGACTTCTGGCCCTGGCCACCTGGGGGGCCTCCCCAATAGCATGTATATTTACATTCCAAAAATAGTACAAAATAATAGGGGAAAAAATTGATCTACATTTCCCTGTTTTTATATTCACATAGCGAGGTAGTTCCATGTTGATCCTTATTAAAAAATTTTGTCTGGGGACTACATTTTAAAACCCAGCATACAGACAGCTAAATCTGGAGCCATGAAGGGTCAGCAGCACCCTGTCAATACTTTAAAGTGTACATCTCTAACACCTCTCCCCATCAGTGCCTGGCTGTCCTCAAAAGCATGAAGCTGCTGAGGCACCTAAGATTATTGAAAAAAAAATCTCATTTTGCAGCCAAATCCTATCAAAATTCACCAACTTATTTTATTCTACATGACCCAATTCAGGAAGCAGGTTCTGGGTCTCATGAAGACCATATGGAGGAGGAATAGGCAAAGAAATGAGGATGGGAAAGGGATTCTTTCTGTCCAAAACTTTCTCTCAGAGAGGTGGGCTCCAATGTCAAGTTCAATATTGTAACACAGAGTTTCAGGGTGTCCAAGTCTCTTTGTAGCTTTTGCCTCAGCTACTTAATATTTAACAAGTCATTAGGATTTGGAATAAACTACCTGCTGGGTAGGCAAATTACTTTAATAAGTTAAATTACTAACTTTAGGTAATTTATTTGCTTTCATGAAAAGAAACATCTTAATATAATTTGCTGTTCTTGATTACATCGTGTTAAATAAATGAAGTAAACAAAATCACATATGCATACACAAACATCAGCTTTGAAAGACACTTTGCAAAGTTTCCCGCAGCCCTGGAGCAAATGATCCGAGCTTGCCATCAGGAAAGCTGTCAGATCATGAGTGTACTCAAAAGCCAGCTAAGGCTGCTGACCCACTTTTCTGGTCTCCTCCTGAAGCAAGCGCAAATCCTCCCTGAAACTCTCCAGACATCAAATATTTAGCAGTGGTTGCATGCTCTGATGAGTACATTGATTTCAGGCTGGCCATGTCTGTATATCTATATATATATACACACACATGCATACACAGAGGGTCCCAGCTTTCTCAGTGTAAAATTTGAGTATACTAGCATTTATTCTAGATTTAGATGGACATTCAAGGTCACACATTGCTTTTGGCTGAAGAAATTGATGGCTCCTTTAAGAAGCAGTGTAATGAATGAGGGAATAGGGCTTGCTTGTTTTGGCTTTTTCTTGGTGTGCATAGGAGCAAGCTCTCGTCTAGTCTCACCAAGGCAGTAGACACTTTTGGAACAAGCTCTGGACATACTCAGTTGGTGGGTATTTGCTCAATTGCTCTGGGATTTTTGGAGGTCAAGTATAATGGTCTAAATGTACCTACCTTGATAAAAACCTTACTTATCTTACTTACTCCTCTGCTACTTCTGGCACTGGAACTGTAGTCCCTCTAGAAAGTAAAACACACTACACAGCCTTGTACTCCATGTAGAATATCATATACAAGGAGTTAGGCAAGTACACTGTGCACCCATATGTGTGCTACTTGGTGTAATCTAAGGTAAGTATGCATTGTCCCAACATACTGTACATTTGAAACAAAGCTACAAGCACTGTGTCTTGAAACAGGTTACTTTGGATGCTGACTGAAACATCTCAAGTGGTTTTCTATAGTCAAAGCAGGACTATCACCTTTCTGTGCATTCACAGCTAGCACGAGGACCCAGACATCAGTTTTTGACATAATAGCCAGGGTCCAGCTATGCTATGCGTCTAAATCAAAACTGTGACACTTGAATGTAGAACATTTTCCTCCTGACAGGATGCTTGCATAATGCTATTAAGAATTCTTAATCTGTCGTTATAAAAGGAATTATTGAATTTACAGTCAGTTAATGCCATATCCACTAGTCCCATGTTTGATCACTCTACAGCCCTTTTGAAGAGAGAAAGCTTTTTACTTCTCTAATGGCTCCGGGGCTTACAGCACAGCATCATTTGCATTGAATGTCATGCTTATGTAATTCAAAAGGTTATTTTGTTGGAGTTGAAAAAGGCTGCTCAGAAGAGAAGTAACCAAAAATGACAGTCTGTTCCTGCAGACTTCAGCCCATGTGAATATTCTGTTACCACCTCTTTCTCTAAAAACCACTGTTTTCTTTATCTCTTTTTTTTTCACTACTGAAAATGCAAATAACATGGGAAATGCAAAAGTATTAAATCAGTATTACATAATTTACAGCTATGCTTGCTACAGTATCCATCTTAGTTGGGAGGGAAAGTGAATTATTTTATGATCATTTATGTTCAAAGTCCTTCGTTGCATAAATATCGCAGAGAAAAGAATTAACAATAAAGGCTTTAATACTGCCCCAAGGAGAGGGGATTGTACGCACTATTGGCTCTGACAACTTTATGTGAATTATCATAATCTTCATGCAGAGCTGTCGTGTGCTTAAAAATACCAGTGGTATTTCAGGAAGAGGGGGGCACATCTCCAGGAGGATGCCTATGTGATAACCCTCCTGCTTACATTGTTTGCAGCGGCTGAGGAGTGGCGCAAGATGGGAGGTGAGCCCTGGCAGCTGATTGAACCAGTCGATGGTTTCCACCCCAGCCAGGTAAAAACCCAGCCCCAGGAGATGGGTAAGAGCAGGTGGGATGCCAATGACCATTGCTGCTCCAGGCACTCAGTTGGCATGCCACGGGGATGCAGGTTTGGGGTATGTGTCTTTTAAAAGAGAGAATCATAGAATCATTTAGGTTGGAATGACCTCTAAGATCATGGAGGCCAACCATTAACCTAACACTGCAAAGTCCACAGTAAACCCAGTCCCTAAGCAGCACATATATGGGCCTTTTAAATACTGCCAACCAGAGATGGCAACTCAGCCACTTCCCTGGCTAGCCTGTTCCAATGCTTGGCAACCCCTTCCTTGAAGAAATTTTTCCTACCATCCAATCTAAACCCGCCTTGGTGCAACTTGAGGCCATTTTCTCTTGTTCTATCACTTGCTCCTTGGGAGAGGAGACCCCACCTCATCACAATCTCCTTTCAGGTAGTCATAGAGAGTGATAAAGTCTCCCCCGAGCCTCCTCTTCTCCAGGATAACAACCCCTGCTTCCTCAGCTACTCCTCATAAGACTTGTTCTCCAGACCCTTCACCAGCTTTTCTGCCCTTCTCTGGACATACTCCAGCACCTCAATGTCTTTCTTGTAGAGAGGGGCCCAGAACTAAACACAGGATTCGAGGTGTGGTCTCACCAGTGCCAAGTACAAGGAAGGAATCACTGCCCTAGTCCTGCTGGCCACACTATTGCTGATACAAGCCAGGATGCCACTGGCCTCCTTTGGCCAATCTAAATGATGGCTCTAGTCCCAGAGACGATATCTGTTTCAGCAAGCTGCACTCGGCTTTGATTTGTCCAGGGTCTTATGCCGCTTTTCCTCATTGACCAGTACCGGGGCCAAACAGGTCTTAATGCACAAAACCCAATCCTTGCCACTTTAGGCTGGCCACATGCCCATCCAAACACCTATGAGAGTTTTGCAGGATCAGGACAGCAAAGCAGCACTGCAGAAATCAGAAAGCCCCCCCCACCCCAGCCCTGCTGCCTCTGAGGCCGCAGGTTTCCCCATCACAGTCTGGAACAAAGCTTTCTTTGTGAAGCTATATATTTAAATTGCTTATGTTCTACAGCTACATATTATTAAGTTTTCACCAGCTTGCTTGGCAGCTGCTCCACTCTAAGTCCTTGCTCGGGTTCAATAACCTTGTGTGCGGGTGCCTGGTTCCCACCATATTCACTTCAAAGTAGTTTTTTGCTGACTCTGTAAAACATGTGGAGAGACCATGCTCTGCAATCAGCAGCAAACAAAGCCAATTGGTTTTCTATATACTAGCAGCAGATTTCAAACACATACGGATAGCAAAGCAGCATCCAGTCTCCTCAGTACAACACTGAGAAAAAACACACAAGCTAGAATCACACCTGCAGCCTGTAGCAGTGAGGGCTCACACTGGTGGTCACAGCCTGGCTGGGGCTCTCTGGCTACAGTGCTGTCACACCCAGACACTGTCAGCATGGGGTGGTGGGCAGGTCCCACGCACAAAGATCACTCCTGTTTTTCATGCTTTCCAATCTTGACTTTTTGGAGCAAGAATTAGGCTGGGCTAAATTACAAGGGGACGAATTGCAGAAAGTGAGCAAGATGGAGAGGGACAGGAACAGCAGAGCTGATTTTTCCTGTTGTGTTAGAGGGCTCTGCCTGGCAGCAGCAGTGTCTGCTTTCCATCCTATATACTTAGCAAAGGGTCCAGAAGTTTCTTGCTGCCTGCTCCTGTGAGGGATATGAGCCCTCCAAGCAACCAGCTCCACACCCTACATCCCTGCCCTGTGTAGGGGTGCAGGTCTGGGTGGTGACTGGGGGGAGTAATGACTTTCCTAAGTGATGTTTTTGTGGTGCATGGTACCAGTTCTGTGCCATAGTGAGAGCAGTTGGGAGAAAGCTGTTGTCTAAGGCATCTCTGCTTTCCCCCACGCTCCTTTCTATCGTGGCACGACCAAGCCATGCAAATGAACCCTGCTGCACTGCCCACCCACTAGCAGTGCTGCTTGCCAGCTCCCCCTGCTCAAAAGCATGTGGGGGATTTTATGCACCAGCTTTAAGATGTGAGCTAACACCCTGCATGTATTGACTCCCACACCCCCACCACCATATAACCCAATGCGGTGCTGTCTTCCACGCTGGGAAAGAGCAGTCAGTAGAGAAGCACTTCAACAGGTGTGCGTTGCAAGCACTGATGGATCCCAACATTTCGGCAGCTTCCCAGCTGACTGTACTGCCAGTTCAGCTAGGGAAGACCTGCAGGGGGAAGTCCAAAAGAAAAATACATGCTTTAGTTGCTATCTTTTACACCCATGCCAGTCAGCTGGAGCAATACGGTGTCATGCTTAGCCTTGCCAAGTTAAAGAGCCTCCTGTTCAAAGAGGGACTCCTTCAGAGCAGAAATTCCTGTCTGTCTACCACACAGTACCAGGAGATAGCTGCATGAAAGTATGAGCTCGCAGCCTGCAGACATGGAAAAAGTGTGCCTGGATCTTTTTGCTGCAGGCCTTTTACAAGGAAGCAATTAGAGAAAACTTGGCAAATGAAAGGAGAATAAAAACAGTCATGAAACAAACCCCGTTCCCAACCTTACCATCTGGGGAAACTGCAATATGAAGAGTCTGGAGTGAAACAGAAAAGGCCTTTGTATTATTTTTCTGTCTTACCCTGAAGCTGGCCTGAGGTTTCTTATAACCCCAATCACCAGGCTACTGTGGGAACCAAGCTCACTGTATCACAGCTTTCCATCCAGGCTGTTGCCTGCATCCCATATCTCACCAGCAGCTGGAAGGTAGCACAGAGTTGAAGGCAGCAAATATTTGTCTTAATGGGATCCTGCCTAAACCAAAAGAAAATTACAAAAGGACATTGAAGGGTAGCTGCAAACCTACACACAGCTCCCAGAGTGCTGAGCTGCAGGATCCAGCCAAGCACTGCCATATTTCACTCCCTCTGGACCTGGCATCCTGCAGCGGTTGTGATCTCCCCCTCCTGCTGTTAGGATGATGGTAATGTTTTTATAGGTATGTTTTCCCTTACAGTCAAGGTGCCAGCTGTAGATATGCCTCACTTCAAGTGAGTTATTGTCCTGCTAGGATTTATTAATTAGCCTTATCCAAACATCCACAACTTTAAATCCATTTTTCTTTTCCTGCTAGCGCACAGAAGTCAGTTATCAACACACCACTATTTGGACTGAGACGTAGCACTCTCCTCCAAGAGTAAGTCTCTTAATAAAAAGAAAGGGAAGTGCGAGCAGAGAGTGAAATTTAAGAGTATGTTTAAGAAAAATGATAAACAATTCACTCACTCCTCATACAAGTTTTATTAAAAGTTTTGCTTTCTGCCAACATGAATGCCTCTGGCTAGGCATGGATTTTGTACCTTATAGAGCTGCCTAGTGGGAGACAATTGATGCTGTGCAGCTCATCAAGTGAATGGAGGCTCTTACTTCAATTTCTGCAGCTATTCCCCATGCCCCACATACATCTTGACAAATAAATACAACAGATAAGACCTAGCCTAGGCATTTCAACTGAATTTTCCCTCTGTAGATTTCAAAGCACCTGGCAAATATTCCAATTTTTTTTTAATTAGGCAGCACACCAAAGAAAGCATAAATATTTTAGCTCTTGTCTGCAGATGCAGAGAAACTCTGGAGTTTGCCATACAAGAACCACAGTGCCCCTCTCTGCCAGGGGTGAGCTGACAGTGGGCAAAAAAAGCCAGTGTCTGTTGTCAGCCCCTGAATTTCACACCTGCCATCTATCTAATGTCTCCTTTATTAAAAAAATTAAAATTAAAAAATCATCTGCTGGTATAAAGATGGCAGAAGCAGGTGTCAGCATGTTCAGTGGTCCAGACATTCCAGAGGGATGTGGGAGGGAATTGAACCTTCCTAACTGAACCTTGCATACCTCCAATTGCAAGGAGAATGAAAAGAAAATAAGAAAGCACTTGCCCTATCCCATTACAACTAGTCCAGTTTTTCATGCATTGGAGAAAGGTTAGGTTAGGCACTCAGGCAGGAAAAACTACCCCCCATAGTCCCCACTTCAGGCAGTATTCTAGAATTAAAAACCTTTGAAAGAAGGGATAAACCTTTAGCCAGGCCCAGAAACATATTCCCTGCCTGCAAATTTCTTGGGGGGAAGGTGTTTCCTGCATGTTTTTATTAAGTTTCAAAACAGGAGGCTGCAATTGACAATTATTGGTATAATTGAACTCTGCTAAAGTTCTAAAGCTAAACATTGGCCTCCGCAATTTTTTTTTCCAAAACACCCAGCTCAGGATAGAGGTGGAGTATATTCACACCGTATACCTTTGACAACTGAAAACAAAGTGCACTGGTCAGTCCTCCTAAGTTCCCTCTAGAGATGTCTTTGAGACACTGTTCCCCAGAAATGAGAAGTTCAGCTCAGTTGTCCTTGCAAGAAATCTGGCTTCCCCTTCACACTGACTATGGAGGGAGCCCGGGGATTTTCTTCAGCATCTCTTCCTTACTACAAAATTCCACTGCAAATCCTTGTGAATGCCAGATGGCTTCAAGGACATTACTTCCCTCTAGAACAGCTGATTGCTTTGTTGGCATGACAGGGCTATGCATTTCAACAGGATCCTGCATAAATGGCTTCATTTCTTGCTTTAATGAAGTTACCAGGGAGAACGTGAAAGCCCTGAGCATCACAAACTGGAACCTGGGATGCCTGAAAGATTCTTAATGTTTATGTTCAGGCAGGAAAGCACAGCTTGAACATGATTAGCTTCTCCCTTTTTCTTCCTTAAGTTATAGCAAAGCACTTTCCAGCCAGAAGTAAAGAGAAAATGCTGAAGTGATGCATATCAGATGAGTTGGGTATTTACACTTTGCTGAGTAGCACACCCATCACCAGTTTGGTGCAGGAGAAAACAGATAGCCAGAAGCTGCTGAAATAACACAGTTGCCTCCCAGTCACAGGCACCAAGACCTCTGTGTGGAATGGGTAATATTTCTGTTTAAAAGCTTGCTTAGGGGTTGTCATCTTCACAATAAAAAACCCCATTAATTGCAAAACCTATGCAAATTAGAGCACGTCTCAAAGCATAAGAACTTCGGAACATAAAAAAGGACCCATAAGAAAAGCAATTTCCAAAATCATGAACCCTTCTCTGTGCCACACAACTCATCCAGTGTAAGTTATTGAAATCATCAGGACTTAATGAAATGATGTGTGATCAGGACACAATTTAGGCAATAATTTAGGGCAGTCTAAGCACATATACCTGAAATTACAGTCAGTAGTCTGAACACTGTAGAGCATACCTGCAGTGATACCTTTGAAGAGGGTCCACCATGCAAAGATTGGTTTAAAAAAACCTACCAACACACCCATCTAGATAAAAAAACTGTATGGAAGGCTTAGGGACTTGTGAAGGAGATTTGGAGACTACCATGCCAGAATGGACTATTCTGACAGGGATGGGTCTCAGCCCCCTGGCTGCCATAGGGTGTTCCAGAATAAACATATTTGATGACATTAAAAAATACCATCAGGAGAAAACACTCTATTGCACAACCACCCCTATCCTTCTCCTCTGCCCCAATTCTCCATTACCTTCCCAAGACCTCGAATGACCAGAGTCTAAGAGCTTCCACTCCACAAATCTGTCTCTTTGAATAAAAGAAAGTTTTCATCTCCCAGCCCATCCTTATGGCTTCTTTTAAAGCACAGGATTTAAAAACAGTGTATAAAAATTCCCCAAAGGCTCCAGGCTGTTGACAAATTCTGAAAAAACAGTGTTCAAATAGTTTGATTCTATAAACCCACCTCAGCCCTTAAAAAAGAAAAAAGGCTTCTTTAGCCCTCTTTAAACCTCATAATTGCTATCAATTTTAGTGTTGAAAAGCTTGGGTTGAGAGTAAAGCTACCATATAAGCCAAATATAATTGTAGGTTAGGAGTTAAAAATGCCTTAAAAGGGTGTGAAAACTTGGTTAAGGGAGAACCAGGCTGATCTCTTTCTCCCTTTCTGCTACCACTGATGTTTTTCATGTTTTTCACCCTGGTAATGCAGCAGATACAATTTCTCATTGGTGCATAACTTCTAAGGCAAAAACCTCTATGAAAGCTGAAACGATTATTGATATTGAGGAGAAAAGCTATTCTACCATTTCTGCAGGTCTCATGGGAAAAAATCCTCTGAAGACAGCAAACAGCTGGTGCAAACTTAGAGCTACAAAGCTGGGTAGTTCTGAAACTAGGTATAATTGGGCCTCTTTCCTCAACACCCATGGTTTCCTTCCAGGAGACCAGAGAGAACATGTATTTGAAGCACCAGAGGCATTTAGGAGCATGAATTTCTCTGGATTTGCAACAGTTCTATGCATTATATCCAAGAGGTGCTTTTGACATACTTTCAAAATGTCTGATAGGATAAAAAATAAAAATCATACTCCAGGGCTTTTGAATAGCAGTTTATGGACTAGACATCATAGGCATCAGGAAGTGGTTGGAGTCAGACTGTCATTAGAAAAATGACTTGTCAGGGAGGTGCAGATACATGCTCCTCACCTTATTTTTACTGTTCAGAAAGATTTTGCCCCGTTCAGGTAATTGGAAAGGGCTATTTTCTTTCGTTAGAAGTTGCTATCCATCAGTGACTATACAGGGAAGTCTTCCTCATGGTGGAGTCTCCTAAATGTTGGCATGAAACAATTATATTAGAAAGACACAAGAAATCGATAGTATTTGTGCTCTTTGCAGATTGCTGCAGCCCTTGGAACAAGCATTACCTGGCAGAAGGCACTACATGAATGGCCTCAAGTGCTTGGAAAGGAGAATCCATTCAACAATCAGATTGCAGCTATATTCAAAGATCAAGGTGGACACTGACTTCTAAACTGCTGGAAACTTAATGTGATTTATGGAGATGCTTCCCAGTGCATTCCACAAGACCAAATGATTAAAGGCAGACATGAAAAAATGGGGAACGGGAAGTTATTAGAGCCAGTAGCAGTGGGCATAACACAACACTTTTCAGTTTGTATCTCAGCTGCACAAGTAGACTACGCTTTTTCTGTGGAGCTATAAAAATAAAAATCAAAGGATACCTGTCAGCTAGAACATTTATTGTACTGGTTTGCAAATCTGTACATTTTTTCCAATACATAGCAAACTTCTAGCTTTAAATTTTTTTCCCTCTGCAGAACGGTATTTCTAGGCTTTCCATTTTTACTGTTTCAACAGTTAATCTGAGCACTAAAGGAGGGGAGTACCCCATACTCACTCATTATGTTGCTATAAATTGTGTATATGTAATTGCCCTGACTGTCAATACATTATTTAGCTGCTATTTGCTTATTAAAATGTGCCAGGAATAATAAGGCACTACAATTTTGATTTGCCTGGCAGCATTAGCACAGGCTGACTGAGCACAGGTTCTTTTCCCCCATTAATAAGATACTAACTTGACAACCCTTCATGTATTTAAAGCAGGTTGCATTTTCAACCTGTAATATATCTTTGCTCTTTTGCTTCCTAACAAATATAAAATATGCCCAGCCCTATGCATAACCCAGGGAATCACTGAAAATACAGAGCAGCCTTTACTTGCTCTACTTCATACACTGACTTGAAGATTGAGAATTACTGTAATTTTTTTCACCAGCTTAACCAATGCTTTCAGCAATAATAAATAAATGTTTAAAAATTAGAAATGACTCTACCCTATTCACAACCTCAGTGATGATTGAGTAATCAGACAACATAAAATGGCATTAATCACAGGTAGAAAAAAAATCTGATAGAAAGCATTAACGTGACATGACTAAACCCCACCTTGACTGGCCAAAGCTCAGGTAGACCTGCTCTGGTCTTTGTTCTGAGCACAGCCCTTGCACAAGGCTGCATCACCCAAGACCCAGCTCTTAGGTCGTGGTCCAGATGAAAGGAGATGGCCTGGCTGTAGGAGGTGCATCTGCTCAGCATTTTGAATAGGTAAAGGATGACTTGGCTAATGCTATTTTGATTGAATCACATATTATTGCTTGCCTAGACCCTCTTGCTGTTTTTAGAGTACCATGTCTTTTATTTAAGATAGAAATTCCTTTGGGATGACTGCTAACATATAAGTAAATATTCAAGTCACCTACTTTAGGAAACCAAAAGGGAATACATTCCTTAATTGAATGGTATTTATTAATAAGGCCTCAATTCATTCAAGGCATTTAGATATTACCAAAATATCCAGTCTCCCAAGAAACAGTTTCAACTCCAGAGAGGCATGCCTGGGGAAGACTATTTAGCATCAGAAGGAAAAGGAAATCTCCCTGCTTCCTGGAAAACTTCTCTCCACACAACATATCACTCCATGCACTATGACCAGGTAGAACACCTTCTATTTTTTTATTACTAATTCAGGCCTCCTGTCTTTCATTAAAAACAACACAAGGTCAGAAACAAGTGCATCCACACGGTTTTAATACAGACCAAGTACAGAACAGGCAATAATTACAGAATCAGATGATTTCCTCTACACCAACATACAGAAGTGTAGCAATTAAAAAGGGGAAGGGAATCATGTTTAGAAGCCTAATTTTCAAAGCAATCTCATTGCAAATTATTGTATTTCATTTGAAGTTTGGATTTAATAACACCAATTAGGAGTTTTTCAAACTAGTAAAACTGAAGTTTCCCCAGCTAAAATAAGCTTCATTGCCCAGAGCAAAGCATTTTTCACTTACCTTCTTAATAGTGTTTATGTTGAATTTCTGAACAATAGAAAAAAGGCTTCTTATAAAATTAGAAGGTATTCTCAAAGACAACCTGAAACCTCCACAGCTGAATCCCAAAGCAAAGCTCTCAGATTTGCCCAGTACAATTGCTCTGTGCTGGACTTGGGGTCTCTGAGGGACACCAAGGAATGGGCTTGCTGCTGGCTGAAGGCACACTAACCAAAGCATATGTCCTCAAGTCTCAGAGGCAAGTTCTGCAGCTACAAATTAGACTGTATGCAGAAACTTGATTTGTAGCTAATGCAGTAACTATCTGCAAACAAAGATGAATTTTTGGCCTATTAAGCCAACAGCTTTTACAAACACTATGTCTCTCTATTATTGCAAACACAAAAACCAGCTGAAGATCTGCACCCCCAACCATCAATCACTTACCCGTACCATTCTAAAAATAAATGTCCTATATTTAAACAAAATGCTTCTGAAAAAAACCTTACTTATGCTAAAGCAGTAACAAACTATGAATTCTAGTGTATTCCATTAGTTTAACCGTCTCCTGGTGCTTGGATTGGTTGGACAAATGCATGGAGGAGAGACAAACGGGAAAAAAGTTTCTCTTGGAAAGCTAAGTACAGTTACATGCAACTCAAGCTTCATAGCAGTATGTATTTCTAGAAGGAGTGGTCTGTCAAGGTTTTTTGGGGGGAGAGTCAGAGCATGTGAATACTCTGCCTAGTTCCAACACATTGCAAATGAGAAGGTTTTTTTTATGTTACTCTGCAAATACTTTTTAAAAACCTTTAAATCAGACAGTAGGAACTATTTTTGAGGAAAAGAACATCTAAAGCTGCTTGAAGATATTTGAATTCAAGCAGTCTGGCCTATTCAAAAAAGGATCTGCTACAAACATGGAAAAAGGGTAAACATTTTTTGCAATATCTTCCACAGCTAACCCTTAAAAGGGCAGATGAAAGTAGGAGGGCAGGAGGGTACACAGCAGTGCAAGGTAGTAAAGCTGTGCTTGCTGGTAAGCTGGCACCCCATGCTTCTGCTGGCTGCAGTAGCCCATGTTCTTACCGATAGCCCAAAACTCACCACCCAGGTCAGCTTCTCTAACTTATATCACCTGTTACACTTGATACCTTTCCTTGATGAGGATAACTTCTTATTGGGCAATGAACAAACAAGTTAGTTTCTAGACTGGAAAATATCCCAGTTAACCCAAATAAAAATACATTGTTCCTTTGGATATATCCAGTTCCGTTCTTAACAACTTTTTATGCACCTGTTTCATAATTCTATATTTAATGATTTTTAACATCCACTTGGAAGTTTTAAGACAACAGCATACCACACATCCACAGAAATTTGTTCTTGCACAGTCCATGTTGTGTTACTATGTTCCCATGTCTCTATTGGAAAAGAACCATCCCTCCCCCTCTTCATATTTGATGAGCTGCTGCACACAGACAATCTTGCCTTCTGCTATAAAATTTGGTGCTACCTACATCCAAGGCACCAATGCTACCTTCTCAAATCCAGTGCAACTTTGGGATACACATACAGAATAGAATCCTTCTTTAAACATCATGTGGAGCCCAGCTTTTCTTCTTCAGCCTACAAACTAGTATCTCAAGTGCATAGACGACATGATGAAAAAAGCAGGAAATGTTTTATTTTTTATTTTAACTGAATAAAATAAATCTCAATACATAATCTGGAAATATTTAAAAGACACCAGGAAAGAAAACTGGATTTAAAAGCAAATACAAAAGTGGCAGGATGAAAACAGTATAAGCTAACAGAATTTAGTGTTTCAAGTGTGAATATATAACAGCAATAGCAGTTTTAAGAATTCCACTACTGCATTCACAATACCAAAGTAATAAGCTGGTATTTCACTAAGCACAGTGAAAAGCTGTGAAAATTGCAAGTTTTAACTGAGCAATGTTGCCATTTTAACAATGGGTCTGAAGTACTGGTTTTATATGCATTTGTGGATGTATCTGTCAAGGGGAGGAAGACCTGTACTATTGGCCAGTGGAGTATTAGTTAGTACATAGCAGCTTTGTAGTCTTATTGGAAAAAAAAGAAGGTATTTTTACAACCTACTAACCTATTCCTGGTTCTCAAATAGAGAATTCTAGCTTGTACAAAGCACAAGTCCCAGGAAATACTGATGTATACAACCCTAAACCTAAATTTGTGTTTGACTTTTTTTTTTTATATAGGAGTTCTAACAGAAACATTCTAGACCTTTCATTTCTATCAAAGTGCAATATACTGCATACATCATCCCACACCTGTAAACCACATAGTATACATGCCATGCACTTAGCCATAACAGTTTACATAAGAAATAGCAAAAGTAGTTTAAATATTGTGCAAGTCTTTTGTTCTGACCACAAGGATGCTGAACAAGCAAGAAATATCTATACTGCATGTTGGAGAATAAAATTTACTGGTACCTTCTATGCCCAATTATTACAAAAAAAACCCAACAAATCCTCCAACATTAAATCTTGTGCTTCAGCAACATCCTTGTTAGAGTATTTTGAGCTATTGTTTCTTTTAGGGAGCCAAGTTATCTAGAAAGCTTGCACCTCCCTTCCTGCCCTGAACTGTGATTTCCTGCAATAATTTAGTTATTTAAAGAAGAGAATGCACCTAGCTAAAAAAGACTTCCAAAAAAGGAGTTACATAAATATTTAACACATTTAGAAATATCTAATTGCTTCCTACCATACGTAAAAGCTAGGAAGTAATAAGGCTTTAAAATTTATTAAGTGAAATTAAAATACTGCATAACATAGTCCTGTATAATGTTAAATACTCTCTGAAATTTAAAGCATAAGTGACCCATAGGACTTCCTGCATTTTCACTTCAGTTCTTCTCTTCTGTAGTTCGTGCAGATTTTTGCGTACACATTTTCTCTGTATTTCCTTTCCAGAGTTTAAAGCTTTCCAATAGGTTTGTAGCAGGCATCAGGCTGCCACATGCGAAGGTCAACAAGGACTTGGTTGAGCTTTTGCATCCAAAAGTTACGCTCTTCTTTAGTATCAGCAGACAGCCAGTTCCTAAAAGGCAAAGCACCCAATGGATTATTCTCCCCCTCTACCTAGCTATTCTGAAAAATGACAACCTGATCAACCATAGAAGCCCAAATTAGCAGGGAAAAAGATTAAGTCAAATAATCCACAATCCTGCTACCAAGCCACCTGGCATTTCCACTTCTAGAAAAGTAGAGTTCTTTGTCCTCAGAACAGAAATGGAACAGCAAGACAAAATAGGACTAAAAATAAACCCAACAGTACAAGTGTTGTCCCAAAGCCTTAGTATTTAAATAAGCTTTGCACTAGTATGGCAAAATTGTAAAGCTCTTATATTACTAAAACTACCACATGAGGTAAAACACCCTCCCAAACATGTCCCACAACCTCCATGATTTGATGCACTCACTTTGTAACACAGAGTGTGTTCCTGCATTGGCTGACCAGAGTCTCTCGGTCATCTTCTCTCTGAGGTCTGACAGTTATTAGTTCAAAAGTGTTGGGACGGGCACAGAACTCCCTGTTGGCAGGTTCAATCTGATGATTAGTGCAGTTAGCCAAGTTTATCCGGCCCAAAGGATGCTGAAAGTGAAGTTAGTTCATCAGTCAAGAATACTGAAATCAAGAATAATTCTGAACAACATATCCTCTAACAATTTTTGCCATGTTAAGTGAACACACCTTCCCCCAATCAATTCCTCTATACAAAAAGAGAGATTCCACTTTTTGCTTTTAAGAGCTGTAGAAAAAAAAAAAAAAGCAAGATAACACAGGCAATGGACCATGCCCTGCTCAGCCACATACAACAGAGATAACATATGCATCCCTCACTAAAGGCTTAGGCTCTGGAAAGATACAGGTCCCCTTTATTCCTTAAAATTTCAATTTAAAAAATTTTCAAAACTCAAAAAAATTTCCACTCAAAACCTTTCAATTTCAAGAGAACTTCATAATAAAATGCAAACTGACAGAGTAAGCTGTGTCAAAGCCTACAGAAAACATGTGCCTTAGGAACTTGCACCACTCCTGTCAAAACCTGTAAGTATATATGGATTCATCTTCAAATGTGCAACTAGGGCACATAAGTGCCAAGTCCAAGCTGCTTTAGCTTTTTCTGTAGTAAAGAGATAGAACTCTTCAAAGAGCCTTCCACATTTCAAGGCAATCATATACAGGTACATGCTGACTATAGACAGAAGGCTCAGCTGTATGTCTGAAGTTAGTTCCAGACCTTGGATCTGGCTCTTCACCCCTACAGAATACCTCATCAGGGAAACATCACAAACTACTCTTGGCTTGGAGAAGAGTTTGCTGTTTACAGGGTGTGCTCACTATACTATTTCATAGACAGTTAAAATAACCTAAGTTACAGGGAAAAGAAGGGCAGCTCCACTTCAAGGAACATTAGGAAAAGGGTTGCGTGTTGGTGACAAAATTACAGCCATAGGAAATTTCTTTTAAGAAAACATTCCATGATTAAAACAATCATGGCCTAATACTGACATTTCTGAGCTACATCTATTCTCTGCATGACAGAACAGACGTAGTAGTGAGGAGAGGCTTTTAATAAGTTTCATATTGCTGTAGATGATAGCATAAATAAAGAATATAGCTGACCCTTTCTCAGAGCAATAGTGAAACAAGTCTAGTAGGTTTTCAAGAACAGAACCTAAAAAACAAACCAAAGCCACTTCCTTGCAGACAAAAGCAGAATAGGAACCTTTTTCTTGCTTGAATTTTTGTCTATCTTCTATTACAGTAGGCAGAGATATTTCCCTCTCTCCAGGCAGGGAAAGAAAGTACACTGATATATTTTGGCAATGTCAGCTATCAGCATATGGTCTTCCTCTGTCAGCAGGGAAGAAACTAAACTCAGGCATCTGGACTGGCATAGAAGGCCGAAAAGGACCAGAGTTTGCCATGGAGTTTGGGAAAGAAAGTGTTCTGCCAATACACAAGAAAGTGTTTAATGGTAAATAACTTCAGTGAGTCAGAAAAACCCTCTTGAAAGGAGTTTTTAAAAGAACCTGGAAATATTTCAGTACACACTGTGAGAAAAGGCTAAGGAAACAAGAAGTTCACTTGACAGATGAACCTTTGGTTTGTCTCATTAGCTAAGCACTTAGATTTCTGTGAGAACCATTTAAGGAGCACCAGTTCCAGCTATAATGTGGAGCTGCAAGAATACAATGACTGCAAATAAGATAGTCCATTACAGCTATGCTGCTGCAATATAGAAAGATTGCCCACTAATTCTTTACCATATTGGTAGCCATAATTTTTTCTAAAACTTCATGCAACTAGGTACAGTCTGCTCATTAAGCTGTACAAGTCCAATCAATTTCAATTAAATAATTAGTCATTTGATGAGCACAATGAAAGGCCTTAAGACTAAAGGGGAAATTAAATCTTTTCCCCTTTCTCACTAGACAGATGTCAGTTTTTAGGTTTGCCCTGATTTGGGTCAGATTTATGAAGACAAGTCCCCTTTATTCCCCAAGAAATCTTTATAAACTTGAATCCTGTGCTTTGAATATCTTTACCTGTTTTAGGCCTAAACGTTCCTGTCCTTAAAAATGAACAGCTAGTTGTGTATTACAGAACTTTAGACTTGAACTTTATATAGCAGCATTACCTTTCGTTTTTCATCATCTGGGTATGTCCAATAAGAGATACAATTTCCAGACAGCACACACCAGCGCCTATGCCATGCTCCAAATCCACTAACATCTTCAAACATAGTCTTAAAAAAATAAAAAAAAACAACTACTTAAAATAGGGTAACATTATACCTTGAGCTTAGTCTGTACTCAACTATTTTTCTACCAAAATGGTTCTGCAAGTACAACCCTTCATAGGAATAAATGAAAGAGAAGGAAAAAAATTATACCGGGAGAGACTTCTAAATACAGCATATTTACTTTCCAGATAGTTTAGAAAATGGGCTTATGCTTTCATTCTCAAGTTTGCAGCCTTTCACTCGAAATGCACCTGTAGCTGCTGTTTCAAATTACCAGATTTTCATATTGATAGTGGCAAGCATTCCCATTATTTTAAGATACTTATAGTAGGTACAGTATGAAAGGGTCACAAAACCCATATTAGTATAACAATTTATTATTAGATATCCAAGTCATCTTTGATTTACAATTCAGGATTACAAAATGTTTAGCTATTCAAGGGGCCATACTTGTGAGTCCAGACAGTTTAAAAGAAAATAGGAATTGATTTTTAAATGTTTGTCTTGACAGTTCTTTCACTGGATACAGGATACCATCAGTTTCGAGCCCCATTTCCTTAGTACTGGAATGGGAAGTTTAGTATCTGACTTCTATTCCCAGTCCCTCTTGAACTTGTACAGAACTTTCCCCCCCCCCAATTAATTTGCATGTGTTGTTTTTCACTCTTCACAATTCAGGTTATAATTTTTAATGGTGCAGGGAGTTTCCAAACCCTTACTCTGAACAAATTTAATATTCATGTACACCATTCTTCAGGTTTTACGTATTTTATAGTAGAAACAAATATGGACTTAAATTAGTACACAGGAAAATGGGACAGCAAACACCATAAGCACGTGAAATGTTTGCATCGAACGAAATCTGTTCAACTTCAATTTAGTCAAGGGAAAGAAGACAGAAAGCAGCGTTTGAGAAGAGTCTAAAGAAATTCTGATTGCTGAAAACACCAAACTAACAGCAGATGTTAATGTTTTGCTGAAGTATTTTCAGAGCACGTTTACTGCCATCTGCTGGACACTGCAACAGTTCCCTCTCTTAGGCCCAAGTATTCCCTAAATCCAGTTTTAGAGAGAACCGCTCGAAATGTTTCTCAAAAAACCTGTCGCTTCCTTGTCATTTCCAGAGGCTGTGAACACATGTAAAAAAATCCAAACTTTTGTTTCTACTAAAAAAAAAAAAGCTAGACATCCCATAAAATTTTCTGCCAGAAAAATTTACATCTTACTCACATCACAGATTAGAGCAAGAGAAGGTTAACTGAAGTTCAAAACAACAAATGAATAGTGTTTACAGGAGAGATAAAGCTACTTTGTAAGAGTTTGTGTAACTTAGGCATGTTTAGAAAATAGACTAAGAATCATTTGTGGTCTGGTTCAGAGAAGAAGAAAAGATCAAGCCAGTTTTAAGCTTCAAATACAAGTATGAAACTAAAAAATTACTACATTTAACAGGACCTGTAATTTCCAAGGAAGGAATTTGAAGAGAATACATTACCAAGAACCCTTTCTCCTCCACCAAGGAATCCACTTGGCATTTCAGTTTTAGATATATATGACCTTCCAAAGGGGACAAAAAGGGAACCTGCAAAAAGTAAAACGATTAATCATATGATTTTGATTCCTCTCAAATCTTACCAGCTCAAGCAAGCCACCTGCACCAAGATGTTAGCATTGTCTTGTTCTTAGGATCTTCAGCTGGAAAGCAGTGGTCAGTCTCAAGCAAGACAGTAATAATCACTTTTTGCTTCAAGTTCATTTAGAAGATTTTCAAGAATTATTTGCTTATTAGTTTGCTCAAGACATATGCAAACATGCATTCTTATCCATAAAAACAGGCACTCCAAGCATGGTTAGAAACAACAGAAGGCACCAATCCACACCCTGCAAGCTTCTGCCTCAGTTTGACATTAAGAGGTTTGGAAAATATCAAAGTGAACTTAAACAGGAATGGTACTTGGATACCATAACTATTTTTGGCAGATACTGATGGAGTAGTGCCTACTCAGACAAATCTTTGTATAAAAGAAAAACCAGAAAGGGGAAAAGTGATGAAAACAACTCTTCTCAACTGGCACTCAAGGTGTTAAAGACCTGCATTGGGTAATTTCTAACAGAAAGGGTTCTAAGTCCTATCTTCTACCACAAGAAAAAAAAAAAACCAGGAAGAAAAAAAATGCAGCTGAACTAGTTAACCAGAGATTGGTCAAACAGTTACTTGATAGTCAAGAGTTTTGAGGAGCAGCATGAAACAAGGTCTGCCTTTGAGCTTCCCCCAATCCCTCCACACATTACATTGACTGCTCTCACAAAATCACATCCCTTTCTTCCCCCCTCACAAGGAAGCTAAGGGCAAAGTGGTAATTCGACAAGCGAATTATGATCTGCAAGGTATTCTACATTTCATATTTTTGTTGCTAAACTGAATAAGTAATACTGAAATAATCTTGAAAAAACCGAACCCCCCCCCCACAAACATTGGTGTTTTGTCATACTAGAAAACTCAGAAAGGTTGATCGTGCTACTCAAATACAAAAAGAAACCAAAAAGGAATTTGCCAGGAAATTGATATGTATATACAGTAGCAAACCAGCTTTTAGAGCCATGCAATCAATGCCAATCACACAGAATTAAATTGTGCTAGTAGTTAAGGTGAACAAGAATAACCCTCAGTAGTTAAAAGTGCACATCTGTAGGCCTTGGGGAATCCTGCAGAACACCAAAATAGGTGTTACACTTAGAAATCAATTGGTTAAGTTGTAGATATATCGCAGCTTCCTCACAAACATGATACATGTGCACAAGCAGGTGATCAAATAACTTTTACATGTTAAGTCTACTCAACTAACACAGTATGCATGGCTTGCTCATTTACTTGGCCCTACAGTACAGAACAGAAAAATTCTAAGCATCAAGGTAGGAGTCTGCATGACCATTTGAGAAGCAAAATAATAGTAAAACATTTCAACATAATACAAACAAGTTGCAGCAATCCTGGATTTTTATCAGCAAAGAACCATAACCCTACATGTTACACCAGGGAACACTGGCTTGTGTACTACCAAACCACAGTAGAATCTGTTTCTGAATGAGGGCCTCAAGAACATTTGGCCATTCCCCCCACTTCAAGTTTATGGGTTTTGCACTCCCTTCTGCTTTATGCCAGAACAGAAGAATCTAGTTTATGCATTAAGAAGTCTGCCAGTGAAGAGCTGTGTGACAGTAAAGCAGAGACTGTACAATAAACAGAACATAAGGTTTTGCAGCACCTACAATACCATTACTAATTACTAAAGCAGGTCCCAAAACACTGTCCTGTACAGTTCAGTGAGAATATATTACATTCTACTTAACAATATATCCCTTTCAAAGGGGTGGAGGTGATAACAAGAAAGCAATTTGACAAACATGCAGCTAGATGAAGAGAAAGCTAGGCTAGCTTGCATTCTTGTGTAGTCATTCAGGTGTCTACCATAAGAAGTCAGCTTACCATCACAGAAGATTATCTGTAAAGATACTCAAGAATTTGAAAAATTGGTTTCTTGGGAAACTTTTGATTAAAAATGGGAGATGATAGGTACTAAAATCATCACTTGCTTAATTTGAAGAGGAAACGTATAACTCTCTTCTGATGGATTCAAGTAAACCATTAACTAGATAAAACTATTTTCAGAGATTATAGACAAATTATTTCTTTTAAGCATATCAATTCACATAATTCCAAAAGCATATACACGAAGCAAAATTTTTAAATGCACATTTGGGTACAAATAAGAACCTCAGATTTTGACACGTTTAGTACTTTCAAAACTTCAGTTATGATCACTTGTTGCTTTAAAAAGGTCTTGATACATCTTGCCAGAACAAGGTCTCGTAAGAATAAGAGATAAGATATTTAGGTCCTGAGTGATTTTAATTTTCTTCTTCAGCAAGAAGTTAGGTAAACCATTATTTAGGCTGTTAGTCATTTTTCTCAGTTTCTCTATCAGCAGAGTAGCTGGTTCTATGGTCTGTGCAGTTTATCAAGAAGTTGGCATAAGTTCCCTGACTAACAATCTTTAAGAGACACATTGATTTGTTCTGAAGTAAGAAAATCCCTTCTCTAGTGATCTGGGAAGACAAGAGACATGTTAGTTATGGAAAAAATCTAGGCAGCCTAAATAACTTCTGAGTTCTAGCAGCAGGCTTATTATTGTAAAGACAAGGGGTAGAATTCTGCAAGTCTGAAAGGCTCTTAACATCTGATGCTTAGTTAGTAAATCTTTGTAAGCATTTTCTTAGAAGAATTTTAAAAGAAAGTGCTGCAAAAAGGCCAGAGCAACATGCACTAGGAAGTAGTTTCCCATTTTAAGTTATGAACTGGAGGATCATAGCAACCTTGTCCCGGAACATAAAGCCCAACAGTCCTTTTTCCTCCCCTTCAAAATTTATCTACGGAAAAAAGAAACATGCTCAATGAAATTAGTATAAAGGTAAGGTCTAGAAAAGGGACACAGTTATACATGAGTATATTTCGGTCCTTCCTACTCTGAATTTTAACAGTATATATAAAAGAGAGGAATCAGACTCTAAAAACCCACTGTAGAAGCAGTTTGTTCCATATTAGAAATGCATGAAGCAAGTTAAAATGCAGCTGTTTGGTACAGCCACAGGCCAAGTCAAAACTGAAGTTTTACTGAGGTGATGAGTTCACTAAAAAGAAAAGTAATAAGAAGAATTCCCCCTTAAATCAGACAACTGTTAAAGTCTGCACCCACAAAAAATTAATCAAGTAATGGTTTCCCTGGAATTCCATTCAAATCTTGTGCTACAGTTCACTAGTCCACACCAGTGTCCTGCGCTACAGAGTAAACTAAAGAAGTTCAAATACAAATTGTTGACTATAATGCAAATGTTGATTTCATTAACCGCAAGAAAAAGAGGTTTCCAATAAGTAAACAGTTCACACAATTAAGATTTCTACACATAATTCTGGTTAAGATGAACATTTGTGCTGAAGAACCAAAGCTGCTACTTCCGAAAGTCACATAGTAGCAACAGTGCAGTTTAACTGTTAAGCTCTGCCAACTGTTTCAGCGACAGAGCCTGTTCCTATCTGCAAAAAGTCAAGCTTCTAAAAAGCAAGCTGAGATTATTACAGTATTTTGGCTTAAGTAGTTCTTGTTATCTCTCTTCAGAAGCTATAATTGCAATAATACTATCATCACAATAAGACTTCATTAGCCAAGAAAAGAAAATTATGCTGCTGTTTGGATAGATAAAGCTGTGATTTAGTACTTCCATCAGCTATAGCAACTTTTGAGTTAACTTAAATTAGCTTAGGATAGCTGCCGGCATAAACACCTATTAAAATAGGGTTTAGGTGTAAGATATTACAAGGTTAGAGATTACAATGAATCTAAGAATGTATTTTTTTGAACTTCTCATGGTAAAAGCCAATAAACATTCTGTTTAGTCAAGGAAATAAAGGTGTAAAACTCAACAATAGCCCTTTTTAAAATATTAAGATAATTTGCTTCTACAAATTTAATTGGGATATGAAAGAAAACTCATACTCCTAATTATATTCAAATGGCGATTTTTAGGTCAATTAAATGCAGAAAATTTTAAATACTTCATTATCATTAAAACGCACTTAATGCCTTATTTAGTGCTAACCACAAGACTAAGAGCATCAAACAAGGTGAAGACCATGTACAGAGATGCCAACTACATACATCAATTTTTTTTGTCATTGACAGCAAAACAGTAACCAAATGCCTTCATTACCTTGGTATAACCATACCTTACATGAGCTACTGAAACAAAAGAACATATGGCATAGTAATGCAAGTCCTTCTCTGCTGTATCTCAAAATTACATTTAATTAACATGAAATTAAATATAAGTAACACCAATACATAAATTTTCAATATATATAAATTATATACATACATATATATATATACACACACACACACATATATATATATAAACCTGTAACTTTCATTTCCAGGATGGTAATTTTGCCAGAAACCAGTTAACTTAAACTTGTATTCATTTTCCTAGTGGATTAGTAACCAATTAGTAACCAATAATTTCCATTACCTTGTCCAGTGCAAATTTGGTATTTCCTACAGAAGACAGCGATAGCTTGTGGGATCCAACAAGGATGAAATTAGTACTACGTATAGCATTTGGGCCACCTGGACTGGCCATGGCTGTGGAGAAAGACATTAAAGTGGAGTTGTACCACAACAGACAATCAGGATGCCACAAGGCTTAAAAAGGCTTTATTTGTACTACTATATGTATGCCCCACTGAGTACTCCAGAATAAACACTGTCTGTGAATGTGCTGCTGGGCTGCACAGTCTTGATGCAGAACACTATTCCTCCCCAGCCAGTCTTTTCTTTCAGAAAGAAATTTTGAAAAATTCTCAAAGGAGAAAACAAAGCATTTTGAGAGTCTCAGGGGGACAGAGAGCACATTAGGGCACTCTACAAAGCACCAATGCCCTGCAGTAGGAATGTGACACTTCAAATCTCTCAGCCTCTTCTCAAGGGACATGCTGCAGACTTCCAGAATTTGCACACCTATTCTGCTTAGCACTTATATCAACAGAAACAAGCACTGTAGCCCAAGCACAGGAGTCAGACTAGTTGCAGCAGCATGGCAGACATTCCAGAATTCATAAGCTCCTTATTGCTGCAATTTGTGCTAAAGCTAGCTCAAGTATCTCATACGGTAGTCAGACAAGTGTGTAATGCATTTTTGTGTAGTTAAAAAAACATTCAGAAATGCTGCTCTTCCAAGAGTCAGAAATACATAAACAAATTTTTTAATATGTCTATGCATGTTATATATATATAAAACACTACACAAACAATACTTCAGAATCTGTTCGCATTTTCAAGTTACCCTGTATTACTCTGTTGTCATCAGACTCTAGCTTAAAATCTTAAAAGCTGATTTGAACTCACATTTTCAGGAAAAGAACATAAACCATGGATATGTTGTACCAGGTATTAGTTTTGATTTTGTGAAGATATTTTCCATTAAACATGATTGTAACTCAGATATAAATACAAGGCCAGTTTCTTGGCTGTACTCTCAAACTGTCATCTGCTACAAATACTATTTACCGATGTATTGGTTTTAACAGCAAGTGTGGATTATTCATCTTGGCATAAAATGTTTAGACTTTACTTACCTGGAGTAAGAAGGTTGCTTTTCTAGAAAATGAGGAGGGAGAGAGAAAGATAGAGAGACAAATAACAGCTTAGTGGGAAAGTAATTCTGACAGTTTCTATAGATGACAAAAAAATGGGTAAAAAGAAACTAGATCTAAAGTACTTTAAAAAACAACCAAATAGAAACAACTTGAAAAGGCCAAATAAATGTGTAGCAACTGTATAATTCCAGCATTACATATCTAGAGCTGTTACCCATTTCTTGAGCTGATGGCTGAAGAATTTGACAAAACTGGACAGTTGATAGAGTTTTAAGTAAGGCTACTATGGGCACAACCTCATTCAGTGTGAGAATATGGTCTTTGGAAGGGGTCATAGCCAGACCTTGTTACAATATTACATTCATACTTACAGAAGTAATAGATGTTAATAATCTCTTTGGAGTAATAACCTACAAAAGAAAACAGTAGCAAATGCATCTATCTTTTTGAATTTGTCCACCACATTAAAGTGAACATTAGACAGCAAAATACTGAAGACTTATCTAAATAAACTTTGAATTGGCAAACCTATAACCCCACATCAGCAACTTACCTACAATGACACAAAACAGTTCAGTTTTAAGTAAAACAATCCTTTAAACTACACATAGGAGAGAAAAGAACACTGGACATCAAACTGGTTTGTTTTATTGGAGGACAAGTGGAGGTATGCTTCCACTGTGCCAAGTGAAGAGTAAAGAAGTTTCCAATTTATGTTTGCAGAGACAGGATTTATGTTTGCAGAGACAGGATTCAAGTACTCATTACAACTATTTTGAAAAACACTTAAGTTTCCTGTTATTACTAAGTTACTGTTATTACTAAGTGACAGATATCTTGACAATGAGGAAATCAGACCTAAAGTGTCACTGTGTGCCCAACTATTGGAAATAGAAGAATACACCCTCCCTCAAAAAAACCCAAACCCAACAAACCACCACCAAAAAACCCTAAACTACTTCCAGAAAGTCACTGGCTTGTTTAGGGTTGCATATCCTTAATAAAGCACAAACACTTGATGCGTGCACCCTATATAAGCTGAAATATTGCATCCAAGGAATTATTAAAACAATGCTTGCTTTAGAAAAAATAGGCATCTCATGCTTTTATTTAACACTGGGAAGAAAGAAAAGTTTGCAGTTGATCAATAAAATCTTTAAGACAAATCAGACTTAGGGTAGGACATATTGGCTGGCATAGTTTAAGTGAAGTGGAGAATAAGGGCACTAAATCACTACAAGAGACACCACACCTAATAAATAGAAGTTTGGAAACCATAGCATTTTGCAGCACTCGTAAGACTTCTCCTCCAATATATTTCAGACTCAATATGCTGCAGGTCCAATCTACTAATTGCTGCAGGTCTCTATAACCCATCTGTCGTTGCAGATGTTCCAAGAAAGAAGAAGAAAAATCAAGCAACAGATTGCCTGAGACTATTAGTTAGTTCTCCCTGAACACTGCAGTCTTCCTACTGCACCTTCTGTTGAAACATAACAGACTGATTTTCATATTTCATTTACCTTAGATTTATTTGTCTTTTTCCTTTTATCAGTGCTTGCAACTTCTTTTCTCTGCACCTGTAAGGAAAGAAGGTATTAAGAAAGTATAGCACATCATTCTTTTATACATCCTCTTGACGGGAACTGATACATACCAAACTGTAAACTTCTATATTTATTTCAAAGTCATTTGACACATCGTGCCTAAAAGGAAGGAAGGGGGAAAAAGTGAGTTAAACTAAGACTGAAGCAAAAAGGTTTATTTGTTTTGGTTTGTGGTGTTGTTTAAGGTTTTTTAAAGTTACTCTTTACTTCTTTCCCTCCTTCTGCTCCTTAAAACTGTCCAGCTAGGTTCTACCCAAGAGCATCTTAGTCATAGTGCTATTAGCTAGCTCTTATTAGTAGCCTTAGTTTGTTCCTGCAGGCCAATAGGACAGTTTGAGATCCTTTCACTTCTACAATAGCACTCTTCAGTGCAGGCAGCATTGCTGCTTTTGAGACTTTAGTGCATTACTATTTCAAAATACTTTCCAGAACTCAAAGAACAAAAGGGGAGGGGAGGACAAGAGACAGAGTACATCTACCGTTTCTCAGATTGCACCCTTCAGTACACTGCTGGCACACACTTCTACTCCAAAAAAAAGAACTACAAAAAGCAACCTGTCTCTAAAGAGCTCTACGTGAAAATTCCAGTTCAATTGGACTGTCTTTTCAAAGTTTTTCTATTTTATTTTGGAAGACTTCTGATAACAAACAGCCCTTTTAACTCACAATACCTTTTTAGCTAACATTTAAGAGTTGATTTTAGTTGTAAGAGTACTATTTTTTCCAGATAACAAAACCAAATAGCTATATAAAATTTCAGTTGCTGCAGAAGAGAAAAAACACATGATCTCAGGCACAGCGATCCATCTGCCACTGCAGGTGTTCTGGGCAAGAACAAAAGGTAGGAAAAGCAATCTAGGCTTACTCTGAGAAGTGCATTCCAGTCATCTCTTGAAGCAGGAAATACCTATACTGCAAAATCCCAGCATATTTGTTTGCAGGTTTGTTTCCTTATACGAATATTTTAAGTATTGTTACGCATGCTCCACCAGAGTTGAAACTGGTTCAGAAAGATTTTTTTATACTTACATAGTAAATGTGGTAGTAAAAGTGAGAGCATCTCCATTCAGGGAGCTGGCAGTACTTGTTAATGGAGTTGCAACCATGTTTTCTGCTCCAGATCTCAGCAGTATTACATAGTAGTAGTTTGCTGCTTCTGTAAATACACATCAGACAGTTTTGTTAGCCAGAGGAGTCCAAGTATCTAAAACAGCCCTAAGTACTGCATTCCCATTAAACACACATCAGTTTTACCCACTTAAACACTTGGTTACAGTTAAGACTTGCTTATAAAGTTACTGCTAAAACAAATTTTTTTAATGCAGTATCTGCTAGTAAGACAGTAGTTTGCTGCTTCTGTAAATACACATCAGACAGTTTTGTTAGCCAGAGGAGTCCAAGTATCTAAAACAGCCCTAAGTACTGCATTCCCATTAAACACACATCAGTTTTACCCACTTAAACACTTGGTTACAGTTAAGACTTGCTTATAAAGTTACTGCTAAAACAAATTTTTTTAATGCAGTATCTGCTAGTAAGACCCACAGGACAGGATTCACAACTGCATTCCTGCCTGGGGCATCTCAGGCAGACCTCACTACCCAGTGCATGAGAGGGGAGAGGAAGAACTTTCAGCCAGATTCAGCAGATAGTCTTAGCTCCTTATACTCTTTAGGTCTACCAGCTTAACCACACATCAGATTTCACTCTGTTCTCATGCTTTTCAGTCCTATGAAGAAACTGGTTACTCAGGCGACTTAATTCCCCTAACCTTTCACATAACAGGAAAACAAGGAAGGTGACCCCAAGTTCACATCCTGATAGTGTCAGAAGATAATTTAGAGTTTGTGCAATAAATTGCTTTTCTGCAAAGCAAAAGCATTGTGCAATGAGACCATGTTAAAAAAATATCCCAACAAAACTCCTAAACACTAAACCAACAAATAAATCAAAACATCTCATGCAGTTTGAATGCTCTGTTGTACATGACACATCATGGCTTTCAGAACAGCTGTTGTAGACTCCAAAAAGCATTGATTTGTACTCTTTATATTTGACCTTCTCTTCAGAGATGCAAGTGATTAATAGAACTTCTGGTGCACAATGTATAGCTAATGATGCCCTTCCAAAATAAAGCTTTTGACAAATAGTTTATAGTTGTTTGTTTAGAGAATTTGACTTTCAGAAGTACTGACAGAAACTAAAGTTACCTTTTTGTAGCCATTAGAAACACTTTCCCATAACAGAGATGAGTTGTCTCATGCAACAAGAACAGTAACATGTTTGTTCAATGAGTTTTGTCCTCAAGTTTTAGTGAGGCAAGAAGTAGGAACCTGTCCAGCTATAATCATATTTTGTAGCATTATATAAAATAACTTTGGTTATTGTGGGCTGCAAATTCTCTAAACAACCACATGACAGAAGTTTACTATGTTCCAGAATAAGTCTCTAGAACTACAGAGATATTCTGAAACAAAAGAAGAAGAAATCTCAGTGATTTAACTATAACAAGATAATGGAATACTAGTATTTGTAAACTAAGTCTTTTGGGATGTTAACAGAAGAACTGAAAAAAATGGAAGCCTAATGAGCATTTCACAGCACCTCAAAGGTCAGAATTTATGTAACAATATTGACTATTTACTATTAGACTTGCTTCCATCAAAAAAATTCCAGCACAGCAAGAGAGAAGACAGCCTCAGATACAAAATTCTACTTCTTCCCCAACAGGTTACAGAGAACCACAAAGAGCTTTCAAACTGGCCAGGAAAGTCTTGATAAGTTTCCTGAACCTCACAAGCCAGAAAAAGATGCCAACCAATCACAGAATATATTGAAAACTTAGTCAAAAGCAGAAGAACAGAATGAAGTTCCTAAGTTTTCATTGTACCTAGATTTCTGAGAACAACAATAGAGAAGACAAAAAACCCAAGAAGAATGAACCAGAAATACATGTTGGAAGAATGGAGAAAGGGGGGGGGAAAAAGGAGTAAAGCTTTTGGTTCCTAGTTTTACCTGGCTTGTTAACTGTGCCACATACAAAGTCTGCTTTTAGAGGTAGACGCATTTCTGAAATGGAAACAGATCCTCTGGATGGAGCAAACTCAGTGGATGCAGAAGCAGCTTTATTTCTTTTACTATGAGGTCCCTCACTCTTCAGTTTATTCAGTTCTTCCAATAATGCAGTTCTTTTCTCAGCTGCATAGAAAAAGTACTTAATTACAGTTGTAATAGAGGAAAAAGTAGCACTGAACTATTTTTTTTTTTGCCATAAGTATGCAAAATGCAACAGAAATGTTAATCATCTTCCAGAAGACGAATATTAGGGCCAAGGAAGACACCAAAAATGTCCTCTTGCCTATAAAAGCTGAGACAGAACAGACACTATTCTCTTCCATTTTCAAGGTGAAAAACTATAAATAAGTGGCTACAAGGTAGTATAATAAATGCATTAGTAAGAAATGATGCACATTGTCGAAGTGTTCACAACAAGGAATTGAACTTGAGTCTAAAAACCTACTTGCAAGGAGAAGGAGTCTCTCTGCTTCTGCTTCTTCTTGTGATCCTTTTCCATGTTCCTCATCAAAACAGCAGTTCAGAGCTTGACTGGCTTGATAAATCACTGTCTGCTGCATGTTGATCTCATTATTCAGTTCCTAGAAAAAACCAGTAGTGAAAACAAGGAGAGATTTAGTGTTAACGTTCAAACAAGGAAATTCCTCAAGACTAGCATTTTTTGGGGGCTATGCTTCGGGAAAAAACCCAGATCATTTAGACAGCAAACCACAAAAACCTTGCAGTTTACAGTTACTTTTGCAAAGTTATATTGCAGCACAGTTTTTTTTTACCTCAGAGGTAATTTAACTATGGTGGGGAGTGAATGACTCCAATGTTTCTATGCTCCATATCCAGTCTAGTCTTCCCTTCACCGGGGGAAGCAGCAATTAACCAGAAATTCAGCAATGCAGGTGAGTAAGGTACCAGCAAAGATCAGAATATTGCCTTGTGGAAGTAGGTAATTACAAATCCTGCCTAATTCAAATGCAGTAATAAGACACAGATTCTCTGTCCCCGTCTCAAAACCATGGCTTGTTCTCTCTAGACTTACTCTATAGAACCATATTCTATGACTCTTAACATTCTATAGCACAATACTTCTAAGAGATGCATTAGCTGTTCAGATTATACATTATCATTCCTTACCATTAAATATTTATGTTAAAAACCCTAATTTTGTAGTTCTGAGCAGTATGTCCTGGACATTCACAGAGGAAATTAGGCACGGAAACAGTAAATTACAAAAAGGATTTTGAAAAGCTTATTCGATACCTGCATTCTCTTCTTGATATTGACTTGATCAGATGGGCCGTTCTTTTTCCCATCTGTTTTGGAAGCAACATCTTCTTTGCGAACGATGACTTGCTTTATCGAAGGACGATCGGTCTCTTTAAATCTTTGAGATCTGTACGCATCAATGCTTTTAAAAAGAGGACATGCCATGAAATGTTTCATAAGTGTGCCAAGCTTTTCTTTTCAATATATAATACATACGTATGTATATTAATGTTTTCCAGCTTGTCTAAATGTCTTTAAAAAAGCATTGTATCAGCTCATTTTAAGCAACATAAAAGACTACACAACCTTAGATAAAGGCTGAGATCTTGGAAAAGAAAAGTTCATCTTTAGTTTAAGCAGTATGCATCACTAGAAGAGTTACAAAAGTCAGTGTCTTAACTTGCACATTAGTAGAATCAGGGGTGGAGTGTTTGTGTTTGTTACCTATAGAGAAGGTTGCGGTCTTCTGACAGAGAGCCAATACTATCTCCGGATTCTGCCCTAGGAACTTTAGTCCTCTGGAACTTGTCAGACTTTAGACTTACATCACTGATACTGCTACCTTCTCCAGTTGACCTACAAGGAGAAGTAAAGGCCTGGAAAGAAGAAAAGATTGTATTACAGATATCTGTCCACATTAATAATTATCTGTTTTCTCTCACCCTTACGTGTTTTGCATAGGAGCAGTAAATTTGGAGGCTTCTTATTACTATTTAACAAACAACATTTTACAAATAATTCCAAGGATATGGACCAAGTTCATTTATTTTAAAGACACCGACAGATTATTGAACTTAGAGATTTCAGCCTTCATTTCCAAACAAGTAATTACATAATGACTTCTCTTCAGATTTTCCTCAGTAACCACTTCATTGAATGCACGTATGCCACTGAAAGTCCAGTACAAGTAATAGGTATAAGACTTAAGCTTGATTTAACAGAAAACCACATGTTTAGCAGAGCATCCAACATGATACACTATTTTCAGAGGAAAATAACTTTGCCTCATTATGCTTTCATTAGCAAAATGTCATTTGTAACTTCTCTATTTGCTCAAATATCCTATTACAGTGATGAAGTGTCACCACTCACAAGCAAATTGTACATCTGTGTGATAAAGAAGCCCTTCCCCACCTCAAAAATTCTCACCTCTGAACCAACAGATTCCACTAGAGGAGTTAACAGAGACATTGATGAAATATTCAGTGACTCTTCCTGCTCATCCTCATCACTTTCACCTTCCAGGCTCATACTCATTTCTTTCTTCAGCTTTTCTATGTCTGGACCATCCTCTTGAAGAACTTCAAAAATTTCATTTATCACTTTTGAGCTATTCATCTCATCATCCACATTAATTTCAACTTCATATACTTCATCTGAAGGGTGACATTTAAAAATATATTAGTAGCATCAAGACTAAACACTTCACATATTAAACAAAGTTATTAACAGATAAGTGAACTAGTTTTGCTTTTCAAGTAAGCTTGATTAAAAGGCACTTCTTAGAGTCAGGCATATAGAACCCTGAAGTACATTTTTGTGATCATTCTAATTTGCTGTTTTCACATATACTTCATAATTGATACAGGGATGGAATGAAAAGATGTCCCTCTTTGACAAATTGCAGCCTTTTAGCTCAAACACATCCAAAACCTGACTGTAAGTCCCATAGCAGAACAGTGATTTCTGTCCTTTCCCAATAAACTTCTGATACAAGCTTTTTAATATTCTTTGAAGACTTGAATGTTAAGACAGAATGGTTATGACAAAAGTTTTCCTCATTTGTGTTATATAAACCTCATTACAAAACATACATGAGGGTCAGTGTATGTGTAGTGAATTCATTGTTCAGACTTGAAGGATATTAACACTGCACTGGACAAGTGGCAACAGAGAGCTAAGTGCATTAATATACATCTGCTCAATACAAACCCTTCTGTTTCTCAGCAAGTTGTTCAAGCTTAGAGTCAGACATCACTTTTACAGGGCTGTTGGGCTCAACAACCTTCAGAGGACTGGATTTTTCAGTCTCTTCACACTTAGAAGCATCTATAAAAAAAAAGAGGTAACTGAAGATTATGTCTAGCCTTTGAATTTTATGGTTTTTAGCTATGGAATTTTAGAAGTTTTACTAACAAAGACCACTAAATTCAGAATTCCAGTTATCTGGCTGTCAAAAAAGCACATTAGAATACATACTCTCCACAACCTGTGCATCTAGATTTCCATCTTATAATCAGCAAACTGTTACCACAAGAAACAATGCTGAAAACTGAATAGAGTACAGACACTCAAGAGTGAAAAGGGAAAATTTAGAAAAAACTACAACACAAACCACTGCACTCAAACCCAACCCCAGACAAGGATATCATCCTGTTTTTCTAGAAGCACATTAGATAGCCTGGTTTGGCCATAAGGTCTATAGGAAGTGTTACCTCAATTCACTCTCTTTTTACAGAGAGTTGGGGATTCTTCCACACAGTAAGCACTAGAAAGCATGTCACGATCATCTCAATTCTTTTCACATCTCCTACTATAAGAATCTATACCATAAAGGCATACTGACAAGAGAAGGGTTCCCTCCCATTGGAGTATTGTGGAAATTTGGATACTCGGCAAAATATAGATTAAATCTGTAACTGACAATTCTCATTCACTTCCCTTACACTAAACCTACATGCAAGTATGAAACACAGGTAAACCCACTGAAAAAAAAAAAGTGTCTTGCCTTGTCAACCTACCAAAGCAGTACAGGAGTGCAGATTACTATTATTAGATGAGAAGATTTAGACAATTCAGTAACCAAATAAAGAGGGCCAGTTCCTCAAGTCAGTGCTACCAGCATCTTTATCTGCTTGTGAAGGCCAAGCACAGTGCTTTGGTCCAATACCAGTCACAAGTGAACAGTGACAGTTCTTACCCGAGGACTCCATGCTGGGAGACTTTGCTGGTCCCAAAGCAGTGGCATCTGAACTAGGAGGACGTTTTGGACTAGTCTGAGATTGGCTTTCCTAGAAAGAATAAAAACATAGCACATTCAGGAGGTAATGTTCAAAGTTAACAAAACAAAAGCCACCAGAAAGAAACACATTTTAACAGCTGCTAGGAAAAAGAGACTGTCCAATATCCTATTTATTTATATGAGAAATTTAGCTGAGTTACTAAATACTGAGTGATTGTACGAGCTCTCTTTTGCTTTTGTAGTTACAGAATATAAAAACTCCACACTTTATATCATCAAAAAGTAAATAAATCAAATGGCTTAAAGCAGTATCACTTGTCTTAGTTGATTCTGCAGATGGAAAAAAAAAACCTAGCAATTTATTACTAATCATGCAATTCACTTGACAACTGGTCTTGCACAACATGGGCATTCCCAAAGCATTGATTTTTATCTTTGATACACATTTTCACATTTACCTCCCTGTTCAGAACACATTAAAGCAATTCAGACTATCGTCTTTTGATTCATGGAGGTAACACATTACCATTTTAGCTTCTGGAAGCTTCCTCTTTGAACTGTCACTTTTCTCCGCACTCCACAGATTGCCCCTATCAAATCGGCCACGAAGGCATGCGAGTTCTCGCTCACGTTCCTAGGCAAACAAAAAGGAATGGGGGAAGAGCTGACAGCTGTAATATGCCAAAACATTTCAAGTTCCTCAGGTTGCTGCAGAACATTAATAATCTTCCCCACATTTATAAGCAAGCTATGAATGTAGCAAGTCATACCTGCTTAAGCTGAAGCACTACACTGGCAGTAGAGGAATTTTCATTTTGTTTGAGAAGCCTTTCCTGGATTGTCCTTGTATTTGGAGTAACAATGGGTGTTCTGCACCCTGGAGTATTCTCAGCAGGGCTGCGCACACGGTGCTCTTGACAGCGCTCTCCAAAGCGTTCCAGGAAGGTCTTAATTCCTGATCCCCCTACAAGAACAAGTGTTTTGCTCTGAAAGAAACTCTCAAACATAGAAAGAAATCACTGCAATTCTGCATCCTGATGAAGGTTCTCAGTGAAGCAATTAATGTCTCCCTTACAGTTCTTACTCCATTGTACTTTATACAAACTGAAGGGCAAATCACAACAGAACACTGAAGTTAAAAAAAGCAGCAAATCAGAGCAAGTAGATGTCCTTCTCTTATCAGTCCACATGTGATACACCAGTTATAAAAACTGATTTTCTTTTTCAACATTTCCTCTACAACCAGCCTCACTTGCACCTTTCACGAAAATGAGTGTTCTAGTACATAAGGCAGATAAACTGTTTGGCATCCACCCTACTTTATTGAGTTTGTCTTTTATTGCCAATATATATAGACACACACACTTGCTTTTCTGGCTGTCATTTCGTAGAGTTCAAGCTGTTAGTCCAAGTTTCTGACACAATAGGCAGTTGAATTTAAAACTGGGGATGCTCACTTGTTTTGACACCAATGCTACGAGTGAAAGACACTGCAAAGTTAGAGCATCTATGTGGTGTCTAGCTTTGATTTCATTTAACATATGCAGACTCTTAACATTATATTGATTGAATACACATAGTATCCAACAATTTGAAATAAACCTTGAATAATATCAAATAACATGTTAGCACAATATATTTTTACATAAAGAGAAAAGTTAAACTGATTTTGCTTTTAAGAGTTACTAAAACTGTGTCTAAGAAAATAGCCCTGCAATATATGGAAGCTGTACAATTTCCAATAATTATCACAGAGCTCATCAGGACTTTACTCAAGTTACAGCAGAAAATAGGCATTATCTGCTCCATCACCTTAAATTCTTAACACGTAGTTTTTGACACTAAATGCATAAGCCTAATTTGAATGAATGTGTATTGAAGCTGAAAAACAGCTTACCTGGTGTTGCAGGTTTCCCCTTAGGTTCAAGTTGCACATGTGTTCCTTTGGCTGGCTCTTCTTTCAACTGAACTGGTTGAGGCAAAGTTGATTTTGCTATTTGAGGATGCTTTTCAGTTTTCTGAGGACTGCAGGGATTCTCTGTTAGCGGCTGTTGTACTTCAGATTCTTTAGAAGAGGGAACAGTGACTCTTGAGGGTTGCGTTAAAAAATTGTTCAGACCCTTAAGGGGAAAAAAAATCACATTAAGATGAGACTTATAATCTTATTCTCTGAAGAGGAAAAATAATGAAACATTTTGCATAGAATACTATCACCTAATACACCTATTCCATCAAGAAAGAGCTGAGAACAAGAGTTAAGATTTTTTTTGTACTTTTTTTTATCCACTATTTCTAATTGTTTCAGCATTTGATTCCAGGTGCTTTTGCCAGCTGCTTCAGGTATTTTCCCATGTTATCCTGAGCAAAAATGCACATGGCAGATACTGTCATTGCATAAACAGCATAAATTGAACATGTGTCTAGTACAACCAATTCATCATTCTGATTGAATCTTCATACAGCAATAATACTCACAGTTCAGTCAATCAGCTACATGAAGTTACAGAGTGAAGCCCAGTATCCCTGTAAGAAGCCCCTTTCTGATTGTCAAGAGCAGCAATCAATTACATTGACATCAGCCTTTATAAGACATATAAGACCACTCATCTTTAAGTCTCAATAAGAGTGATTCTAAGCTGTTTCAGGACTGCTGTTAAAAAAGGATGTGGGACTGCAGTAATGCAAAAGCTGTAAATTGACTAAGATTAATCTTAAAGATTTGATGTGAGCAAACAGTTATGTGCTAACATTTGTCCTCCCAATACCCAAATCAATTTTTTAATCAGCAACTAAATCAGACACTCACCGCTCTCTTTGAGTTTGCTGGTTTATTAATAGAAGCCTCAACAAGCCTTTGAGAACAGGATGCAGCTTCCTGCTTTACACTGCTACTATTGATTCTAGCAGATGCTCCACTTGTAGTGGACAATTTGGATAAACAAGTAGTACCAGGCTGTTCTTGTGCATTGTTTTGCTTTGCAGATGGATGACTTAGGTCATCTTCCCAGGAACCAATTGTAGCAGCAAGGTTAGCTAAACGGCCTCTTCTCCCGATAGGGGTTTCACTTGCCAGGGCATTAGATATCTGCTTAGGTGGAGAAACAGACAGACCTTTTGACTGGAGGGGAGACAGAGGAACACATTCAGAGGGATCTGCAAAAAAGAAAACACATTTCTTTTTTCTAATATAATATACTGAGATATATCTGCATCTTTAGCATTATACTATACATAGAGTTTATCAAGTTAGATGTTCCTGCCATCAACAGAATCAAACTACTAGCCCTGAAGGCATCAAGACTAAGCAAATTAAACATTTTTAATCAAGCAGTTTACTAGTTTTATACCACTGTTGTGAGGAACAAGACTAGTAGGGTGAAAAAAGTTTAAAATTAAGCTGTAGTCAACAGCTTCGATATTTTAGGCCTTCCCAAGTGCTCTCAAAATTCTTTATGAAAACATTAGTGTTCACGCATAAAAAATTATCTTCTGCTAGCTAACATAATCATCTATGCAAACACTGAAAGAAAAAATACCAATAGTGCTTAGCAAGTGAAACATACCCTCACTATCCCAGCAGAGCCGCTGTTCTGCCAATTTCTGCATACGTGTCTTGACAGAAAGGGCTGCAGGAACTTCTGACTTAGTGTTTGGTTTTCCTTTCTCAAGAGGCTGAACCACTGAAGCTCTGTTAGAAGTAGTTTCATGCAATTCTGAAGTCATCTCAGAAGCATCATGGCTGGTGGAACTCGGAGGAACTGGTTGTACATTCTCCGAACAAGAAGCTTGAGTCTCAGTATCATTAGGGCAGAGCCTCTTTGATGGCGATGGCTTTGTATCAGGTTTTACTGTATAAGTCAGAGTATTCAGCAAATCAGTATTCAAAACAATGTAAAATATTTTCAGAGACAGTACAAAACCATAGTGCAAATAAAGTTATGATTTACGAATACCTTGATATGCCTCACCCCAAAAATGCCCCTCCCAAATGTACCAAGGATGAGGTACTATCATTGGCATTATGCAATTATTTCTCAGTATCTTACTAACTACTTGGCACATCTGCTCTCAGGTCAAACTAAACATGAGCTAGTCCTAGTGGGCAAGTAACTGCATGTTTGGTTTAAGATAAACACTGCAGAGTTTTCACTTGCCCATAGTTAAAAAACATGGAACTTGTATCAAAAGACAATCTATACTAAACTTGTCTCAAAATACCTTCATCACCAGAAAGAGATGCCTGGTTACCAGTTTCTACCAAAGGCTCTCTGACCCTCTTGGTCTGCATTGTGGGTCTTGCTCCCATCTTGGGCCGCTCGGCCATTTTCTTCTGCAGGTTCTCCCGCCTGGCACGGGTTCTTTCAAGGAGTTTCTGAGAAGTCAACAAATCAGGCGTTAGTGTACATTGCAATGTGTTAACTACTAATAGGTCACACTAAAAAATGTTAGAATTCTATAGCACATTCCAAGATCCACAGTATCAGAAGCTAGCCAATAGCTTCCAAACATCCAGTCATTAAACCAACTAGTGTCTCCCTTTAGTTTGGCTTTGAAAGAAAACCAGGCTAAAGAGACACAAGCAATGGCAAAATTAAAGAAGAGCTTCTATAGAGCCTGAAGTAGTCAGAATGTTTGAAAGCAAATTTTTTTTTTTTTGCTGAATCACCTCTCAACACTCTTGAACTGCCAAGTCTTGCTAATAGGTTTTTTGACACATTGCTAAAGCATCTGGTAAAGTCACCTGACTGGCTCTGACCCTCTAACAAAACAAGCAACTCTGAAGGAGTAGTAAGAAAATTCAACAACTGAAAAGCATGGCTGTCCAAATTTTTGAAATCTGTTGCTATTACACCTTCTAAATCAAAAACTGAATTCCTTTGCTTCAAGCTTGAAAATTTAAGAATAGACTGATGTCATAACTAGTTATCTTAATAAACAGGCCCTTTATCATAATGTATCTGTATACAGAAGGACATATAAAGAGATACCAATTGAGCTATGCAGCAACATCCTCTTTCATTCCCTACCCATTGGAAATTTGAGTACTATTATCATATTCCATACAAAATAGCTGTTTTAGCAATTGTTCCACACTAGTAGAAAGTGTTTCCATATAACATCTGCATTTAAAATTCGTTGTGGTTTGTTATGTTTTTCTTTAAATACAGCATTCATAAATCATCACTCCATTTGATCACATTTAAAGGGCATCTATTACTCCTCTGATTTAAGTTTTAAACTTCTTTGAGACAAGAAATTGTGCGATTGAACTAATGTCCTTTAAAGGGAAGCATATAAACTGCACTTGTTTGGTGGCACATAAATTATTGTGAGAACTGTGCCAGCCATTATCTGTCCTGTCTCACAGCAATTAAATACACATTTCACATTTTTAACTGTCTAAAGCTGAAGTCTTAAACAATGTTCCATTGTAAGGCAACACAAGACAAATAGAATGTCAATCTCAACGGTGTTTGTTGTTTCTTTTTTTGTGAAAGCAAATATCAGCTTCTCTAACTTCTTTAGAAGAGGACTTAGGGCAGGGAAAAGGACACATGAAATGCCAGGAGTGCCTTGTGTCAAATTTCCTTATTTCAGCCTCCAAAAGACAGAGCTACAAAGGGCACATATTACCCATATTAAAGGAAAAAAATATCCTCAAGCCTCTTTAGGTTAGCAGTTTTTCTCCTGCAAAGCTGAATATATCTAGCACAACAGTATTCCTACAGTTCTATTCAAATGCAGTCACATTCCTTTCTGTTTTGTTAGTTCAGTAAAACGGAGTTTCAGTTGTTACAACCGGGATGTCACCTCCCAAGAATGCACGCCTCTGTTGTTCAGTTCCAGCTCCTACTGGCTTTTTCCATCTCAAATTTTCCATGCAATTCCCATAATCCAACTGCTGCTATTACACACGATGAGTAAGCTATGTTCCAGAACTAGAGACTTAATTTTCAAGTTCATCAACAGGGTATTCGCAACAAGTATGTTCTCCAGGTGTTATGATGACAAAATCCCAGAGTAGGACCTACCTACTTCATTACATCAAGGGATCTGAGGACTATTAAACTGAAGTTAGAGGATCACTGTTTGCTTTGCAAAAGCACTTGCTAAAAATCAAACAACATGATCCCACTTCAAATGTTAATGGACAATCTCAGTTTTCCAAAAGTATATTTTAAAGTACACATCCAGCAGCATTAGGGAAGATACTTGGGCCCATATATGAATACAAGTATTTGTTCTAACTACCCTTCTTTACTAGTGGAATAGGGGAAAGGGAGCAAATCTATCCATGACATTGAAGGAAGTTAGCTTCAAACCTTACATTTCCAAATTTTTGCTGAACTGCATCACCTATTTCTCATCCCCCATGCTAAGAAACCATACTTTGCTCTATGAATGCTAATAACTCCTTAGTTAGAACCAGCATGCTCATTGTGATCCTGAGAAAGTAGCCACTGCACCATCTCCACTAATAATTTGGTTGACACTCAGAAGGCTATTACGTTTTTCTTGCAAGACTAATCAAAAAAAAAAAAAACCATTATTTCAGAACTGTCTGATTTGAAGGCATTCCACTGAACCTTACAGCAAGATTTATTTGAGCTTAAATTCATTAAGACAGAAAAAATTTGTTACAACAAAGTGAACAGCATACCCTGAATTAACAGCATGCTTTGGCCAATTAAGGCTCAAATTACACTGCTTTACAAAATCAACGCTTAGTGTCTCCCCAGTTCCCTACAAGTAACAGAACACATTAATTTGGAGACAATGGCTATCTGTAAACAGTTAAACTAAAGAAAGATTATATTGAAAGAAAAATAACAAAAAACCCCACCAAAACAGAACGTAAGTAGTTCAAAGTCAGCAGTAAAAAGCTTTGTTTTCACAGAATGTTTTTGAGAAAAGTTGTTAAACTTCAATACTAATACACTTATATCAGTCAGATCTTTACACAGCAGTGAAATGTCCTCTACAGCAGAAACACTCTTGATAAGGCAACTTTTTAGGCACTCTGCAATACTGGCTAAGTCTTTGAATGAAGTTTACTCTGGGGAGTGGCCCCACACTTGGTCATAGCTTTCCAAAGTCAGTTATCCACAAGAAGGGCGTGTTGAGTTTGGAATATCTCCCAGCATGCAAAACCATTTTAAACTTGAGTCAGTAGTTTGTACTTGAAGTTTACTTAAGACTAGTTGGATCATGCCACTCACTACCAATTAAGGAAAGAGGTTTTAGATGTTTACACTTAGCAAGACTTTACATGGGGGTAGAGGTAGATTTGTCTTGGCATTAACATGTTTAATAAATCTGTTCAGATCAACACCTTATGTTCATTTTGTTTAAAACAGATCTTCGCACTCGCCTTTTTTTTGGGCACTCAAATTATTCCAAGTATGTCAGTGTGATAAACAGATTGTTTACAAGGGGAGGAGAATTTCATCAGCGTATTTGATCTGAATGTCTTTTAAGCCGTTCAGATCTCGTTTAGGCAGGCTGTGAACTGAAAGTGGTTTTTACTTTTGACTTTCCCTTGACATTTCTCAAAGCAGTCACTGACAGCTTCAGAACTCGACACGTGTCAGGTAAAACCAGAGCACAGCAGACTCTTTCAGAAACCTCCAATTTTCAGATTCAAGTCCGTCAATTAACACTCATTTTGTTATAACTTTGTAAAACCCAAGCAGATGCAGACAGAGCAAATCCACCCTAACTACTAACGAGTTCCTCTTTTTTAAAAAAAAAAAAGAAAAAAGGAACTGTGCATTTTTTACTTAAAAAAAAAAAGTGCAACGCTGCCAATGGACGTGACCAATCGCGTTTTTATCAGACGGTGGCTGCTTCGGGCAGACTTGACACTCGACTTTTAGGTACGGTAGGCACAGCGTGTTAGTATCACTCCCAAGAGAGTGCCCTCGCTTTCAGCCGAATAATCTTATCTGCCAGACGCACTAGAAAGACAAACACCAGCGCGGGCCCGAGAAGGTCCTCTCCCCCTCAAACCCTGGGTGAATCACCACTCCGTCCTCTCCTGGAAGCTGCGGCTGGGCTGCTC